GATCAGAGAGACCCAAGTGGGGGAGGGGGGAGGCTTTGTATGCTCCCTTGCATGCGGTGTACACAAGGTCCAGTGTGTTGTCTCCTCTCATTGGAAAGTCCAGATGTTGGTGCAGATTAGGCAATAGAACCTTTAAATCCACGTGATTGAAGTCCCCAGCTATGATGAGGAATCCGTCTGGGTGCGCTGTCTGTTGTTCACTGATGGCCTGGTAGAGTTCATTTAGTGCCTCACTCCTGTCGCTGGTGTTAGCGGTGGGAGGGATGTACACTAGTCAACAGAATTACTGAGTACACCCTACATAAATAGAATGGCCAGCACTTGATGATAATATACTCCACCAACAGAGAACAGTGTTTATGAACAACAGCAGTGTCCCAACACCAAGCATCGCTGATGTAAACACAAACTCCCCCTCCACGAGTCTCTCCCCCCTTCACAGGGACTCAGTTGGCTTGGTGGCATGTTAGCCCATCTAGCTGGATAGTGGTGTCCGGGGTGTTGTCATTGAATCATGTCTCCGTAAAGATGAAAACACCACAGTCCCTCACCTCATGCCGTGCAAATCTCATCTACCATCTGTATGTGGTCTGTTTTGTTGTTCAGTGAGCATACATTGGCCATGATGAGGGATGGTATCCCGGGTCTGTGTGGGCTAGCTGTTAGCCTAGCCTGGATGCTTCTGCTTTCGTTCACACCGCTTCCTCTCAGGGGGTGGTGTAGCTGGCGTGTCTGGTGATGTAGGAATCTGGCAGAGAAGTCCCAGGCCTCAAAGATCCTCCATGACTTCCTGGTCCAAGTTGAAATGTTTTGACTTATTCCCTATATCCATAAGGCAGCGGCGACTGTATCTTGAGCGCAACTTAGATGTCGAACTACATGCACCAGAACATAAACACAACAAAAGCGAACACACACTAAAACACACATTATTAGGCACACAACCGGGAGAGAGACGAGCCACTGCATCCGTTCACGCTGCCGCCATCAAGCTTATATTCTCATTTTGAAATGTGCAGTTTGATGCTGTTGAACTGTACTGCCGTATACTGAGAGGTGTTCCTGTTATTTAGCCCAGCCTCATTAATACAAATGATGTGGACAAAATGACACTTGTCATTGCGCAGCACACAAATTACACCTTCAAGAGCTTGAATAGAAATGGAAAATTATCACCTTCATGAAGGCTGCATTAGATTTTGTTAGATGTACCTAATAAAGTGAGTAAATATTCAATATATGTCATCACATTATTAAATGGATTTGAACAGACTCATAACATTAGACTACTTGATGGCCATTTTAACTGTTATCAGTGGTTTTGTCCCTATAACTTGTTGAAGTGCTTAGCTAAGTGTGTCGATGCAGCAGCAGTGATTTATGTTAATGTGTGCAAATCTCCATAGTGATGGAGAGGTGAGAGACGGTGACTCTCATTGGCCGTTTTCATTTCTATGAAAACACCTGGCTCTCTTGACGTTTGTTGGTAAAACGAGATCTCTTCCTCCATCTCATTAAAATCAGTTGCGTGTGTAGACTATTCCAAGGTGCTGTTTCTGACTTGGTTCTGTTTTCTTATCACTGCAGCACAGTAAGCTCAGTGAGCAGCTACATCCACTGTGGTTGTAGCACCTAGAAATTCAGTGAAATCTTTACAGTGTCGTGTTTGTGACAGAACGACTTATTGAATTCAGTTTTACAGCTGATGAGTTTATTTTTAAGTAGCCTTGCTCCTAAAGAAAGCGCATGATTTTAGCTTAAAGATACATTAACTATGATTGTACACAGTGTCTGATAAATCAAGTGAAAATAGGACAGGATGTGGTATCTCTCAGCTATACTACACCCCTTCATGACGGTCTATTTACAGCCCATCTGCTGTTATTATAGTTTCTATGCCCTGTGTTGTCAAAGTCAGGTGCATAAATTGCCCCGCCTGCCAACTAGTGAAGGTTATACAAAGTGTCTTTTTTCCAGCTGTGATCGGGTGCTTCAATCCACCAGCCACGGAGAAGCTCTCAGCAGCTATACGTCCGAAGCAGTGGCTACCAGACCAAAGAGGTGGTGTTCTTTTGCACAGATAGAGGGGACGAAGAAGGAGCAGAAGCCAGGGCTAACATTAGTTTCACTTTATGAGATTGAGAGTGTTAAAAGCAGCCAGAGGACCTAAGTTTGATTCAGATGCGGTGTTCTTCGTTCTGGCTGCATTAGCATCTCAGTATTATGCAGCCAAATATGAAGTGATTCTTGCTTGTAACTTGAGATTTAGTCTGTCTTCAAAGCTTTACTACTCTCTTCTCTTTATTTAGCTATGAATCATCTCATCTCAGTCCATGTCTTCCTTGATAATCATGCCTAAGAAGCACTTCATCCATCCCATGCTGCTCTGTGTATCACTTAGCAACAGTTACCCTGTTACATAAGGTGCTTAGCATTTATTTATTGAACCTGTTTTCGCCTTTATATGAAGGTGGAGAGAAACTGGGAAGGTTGGATAGAATAGTAAGTTGTAATGTACAATAAAGATTCAGAGGTTTTTCTGTGTCGGCCTCTGTTTAAAAGACAGAGGGGCTTCTCCTCTCTCACACGCTGTGCGTTTACACACTTTGCTTGTAATACCAAGGCTTGATGTGTGAAGGCGCGGACATTTAACCAATCACTTGTAACTGCTCTATGCGCACGCACCCCCTCGCGTTCTTGATTGTTGATTTTAGCGCTACCTCCTGAGGGATGCTGAAATTTAGCTCCCAGAGCGCATCTCCAAACGAGCACACCATGGTGGAAACAAATGCAAAACCCGTGACAAACTTTACTCGGCTTGACACATTTGGAGCAAATAGTATTTTAGCTTGAAATGCCTGTCCCTAGTACAGATCAGCTCCTTCAGCCCACAGTGCCCCCGTCTGCTCTCCTTAGTAAAAAAGAATGTCTATCTTGTCAGAAAGTTAATAGCAGTTTCACCAATGTCCCAAAAGCCATAAGTTAAGCACTTATTCTTGTGTATCAAAACGCTGTTAAAGGTGCACTAAACTTACAGGCTACTTATTATTGTTTGCCTTACTCACCAGTGGGGCTGACAGAGGCAGTCTATTGGTAATTAGCTGCAGACTTTGACCTTTCATTGTCTTTGACTGAGGAGCATTGATGCTGCACAGAATACATATCGGTGCATTGGTGACTTTTTGCTGTTTGACCCCTGGATGTGCTGATATCTGGTTTCTTACAGCTGCTTCAGGAGGACTCCAGCATATCTGTTGTCATCATGAAATGTCTATACATATAGCTTGTTTAGTTTGCTTTCCAGAGGGTAAGGTAGTTTTGAAGATATGCATGCATCTACATATCTAAACAGTGTATTATTTTTTCCACATTAAGATGATCTAATGTTTACTGTTCTCCATCCAGTTATCTAATAGTAGATAATGGAAGATGCAAGTGTTTTTGACAGTTTTAGTATAATGACTACACATTGCTTACATTACAGCTAATAATCTCCCAAAGTGTACCGAGCATACCATAGGATTTTAGACAAGTAATTGTGGTTTTCCCACCTTCCTGGCAGTCATTGCTTTCAGTAATTTTTGGTAAATACAACACAGTTGGTAAAATGCATGGATTTTAAGCAGCTTATCCTCGACTCAGGTCTCAAAGCTTTCTTAACAGTCTGTGCATTTAACTCCATTTAATATTAGTAATAATGTTCTGCACTACAGTTATGGCCACAGTAGAATTTTATGTGGGCACTGAGAGACTTTCAGAACAGTGTTTATCAGTATTGTGAATATCACATGCCTGACCACCACCATATTGCCTTTTTGTCAGCAGTTCTGTAATACACACTGACACAGAAGGAAATGGAAAAGGGAGAAGGCTGATACTAGGATTTATAAAACCTGACCATGCCCTCAGTGTTTCCTTACTTCCTTCCCCTTTAAATCCTAACCATCATTTTTCTGCGAGTGCTGTTGAGTCTGTGGAGGTCCTAGTGGGAGAGTATTTGCTGCCTGGAAAGCATGTTTATAACTTATTCTTTAATCTGAAATGGCTTGATAGTCTGTGGGTATTAGAAATTGATTGGATGCACACTCATCTTGTCTGTTTGTGGTGCTAGAAATCATGTCCTTAAATAAAAAATACAAAACAGTTCGTTGCAAGGATGAGATATGCACAATAAGACATAAGCTCGGAAGTCAGACTTAAGTCAGAAATGATCACAGTGCATACAAAGAGTGCAATTCAGCGCATTACCAGAAGGTAAATATCAGTCATTCAGTGATGCAAGTTGTCCACCCAGATGGTAGCTGGCAAGTTCAACTGAGTGAAAAAACAAACTAAAATGGCAGAAACATATTAAGACTGAAATTTGAAAAACAGCCATATATATCCCTTTCTGTGCAAAAGCAGATGTCTGTGCCAAACATATATTTTTTTCTCAATCTGTCCCCTAATAGTTGTATTTCGTAATCCTCCAGCTAAACATAAGCACACAGGAAGGGTGAGCACAAATCCCTTCAGAATGCCGTCACTTAGCTACACATACCCAAGGTGAAAATGGAGTATATATATGCCCTAAGGCTGATATTCAGGTTTCTTGGGATGAATAAACCAGTGCAGGTGTGTGTAAGAACTTGTGCACCCGTGGGTATATTAGCTGTATACCAGGAAGCTCAAAAGGATTTGATTTCAGACCTGTTTCTCGGCAGTCCATCCCTCCAGCTCATCACAGAAAGCAGAGTACAGCTGGCTACAGGGTTGACTGTGATGGCTGAATAGCTGGATTGTTCTGTAGCTTCAAATCCATCGGCTCACTCTAGCATTCCTATGTAGAGCAAAGAAAGCACAGAGGAAAATTGGCTGATTTAAACTTGATTGGCTTTGAGTAGCCAAAGCAGCTCTGTTTCCTTGATGTTAGTTTATATACCTATTTTGTCTGATATGACACAATGTGACTGTCGCTCTCTGCATGTAAACTGGGTTTCTGTGCATTTTCCTACATACAGCTGCAGCTGCACAGGCACAGGCTGAGGAGCGGCGCAGCCTGGCAAGCAACAGTCCAGGACCTACAACCAACACATCAGCTAAACCTCAGGGGTGTAGGCCAGGTAAACGACACCACACCTTGACACGCAAACAGAGTAGTTCTCACAGATACTCCCCTGTCACCACTCTGTTGTCCTCCATAATGTGAACCATTAGATGCAACACAATCCGCTTCCACCACCCTCTCAGTGTGGTTTACTGCAGGTAAATCGTAACCATTGTCTTATTATTGTAACTATTGATAAAGCTCATTTATGATATACACACGCAGCCTTTGTAAAACAATGCTCCATTGTAATCCACCCATGGGGTCTCTGTATATACATTGCTACATGTTTTACCTTTTTAACCACATATTGTATGTATGTGTTCGCAGTTATTGATGGTGCCTCACTTAGAATAGACGACCGACTGCGAGTGGCAAAAGAGAGACGGGAGGAGGCCGAGAAACAACAGGGTAAGAAGGCAATCGCAGTTTCTGTGAAATTCTTTTAACCTCCCTATATGTGAAATTTACCACATTAAATGCATAGAGGCAACACATTTGTTGTTAAAATGGGAAATTATTACATTTATGTTGCAAGTTTTCATATTAGCACTAGTTTTAGTACTTATACTGTGGATATCACTAGAGATATCTTTAAAATTCTTGCTGTGCTTGGTTGGCTTTTTTAATGCTTGAAGTCTGTTCACCTTTGTTAGACAATAATAAGTGACATACACACCCCATGTTCATGCATGCACACACTGTATGTGTGGTCAGCTTTGCGGGACTCTCAGATCATGGAGCGGGAGCACAAAGCCAAGCTGCAAGTGGAGCGTCAGATGGAGGAGCGTCAGAAAAAGGTTGAAGAACAGAGAAGAAAGGAGGAGCAGAAACGATTGGCTGTGGAGGAGAAGAGGAAGCAGAAACAGGAAGAGGAAAAGGTAGCTGCAGCACGGGTGGAGGTGGAGTCTTGAGAGCCTCTTGTCACTTAAAGAATGACATTTTCATAGAAACACAGGCGTATGTGGCAGTGTTGCTTTATATAGTAGAAGAAGTGCTGAGGACTAAACCGTTTTATAACATTGTCAGGTTTATCATCTTCAAGGTACAATCTGTTCTAATTCTCTCCATTTTCAGAATTCAGTAGGGGAACAAAAATGAGTTACTTAAAGTGCTACGGTACACACAATACAAAACAACAGACAGTAAAATAGATGAAAACAAATACAAACACAGTAAAATGCAAGTAGCATTAGTTTGATGCAAGTGCGGTGAATACTGCAGGTTTAGGGTTGACTGTTCCTCTGCTGTAAATGACTTGCATTTTTTTCTTTCATCATGCTGCAGGAGCACTATGAGGCAGTGATGCGGCGAACATTGGAGCGTAGTCAGAGAGTGGAGCACAGGCAGAAAAGATGGTCCTGGGGAGGGCTGTCAGACTCTGATGGGCGAACAGGTAGAGGCCCTTTATTCTCTTTTAACGTTCATCCTTTCCTTTCTGTTTTCCTGAACAATTTGACTTGCGTCACCCACTTGCAATGGTCCTTCAAAAAGCCACTTCAGATTCACCAAAGGCTCCTCACTTCATGCTGGTCAAGAGAGCTAGCTACTGGTTGACTTCAAAAGGTTTCTCTGCCAGACATTGTAGAAAAGGACACTATTCTCTGTACTTTTGTTTTTTGAAAGCATACAATAGAAAGGCACTTTCGGCTTTTCCCATTTAGGGATCGCCACAGCGAATCGTCACACTGATGACTCGTATGTTGACATTTGGCACGTGTTTTACGCTGGACGGCCTTCCTGACGCAACCCTGACTTGAGCATACAATAAAGGGTCTTATTACTGATTTTGACCTAAAAATCTAGCTGTTGTAAGCTTTGGCATATGCATAAGAGTAAGACTGGGTGCTGCACTCACATTTGAGTTGGATTGCATTACTTACTATTATTATTATTATTATTATTATTATTTGTTAAACACATATTAACTAAAGATTTTAAAGCTTGTCAAATTAATAGCTTCAAATCAGAATAGCCAAACCCTGAAGTAGCTCCTTTGCCAAACTGTGAAAGTGAGGAGCTTTTCAAACCGAAAGTTATAATCAGATATTACTAATAATACTATCAAATATCTGTCCGCAATTGTTGGAGTACACAGTAAAGCAAACTGGGGATATCCAGTTTATTAACTGAGATGTCAGGAATTACTGTACATGCAACTGATGATTGCGAATGTAGTTTGCCACACTCTTACCATTAAGGTGTCGCACCCACTTTGTTTTTAACTTCAAAATTCATGGGCCTTTTAGATGACATTTAGCTTATATTACTGTGGTACCGACTTGTCTTTGTGTTCATTTGGCACCAAAATTTTACATCCTCAAGCCAGTCTATTTATTACTTTAGGTGTAAAACACAAGCTAATGGCTGCAAGCCAGGTTTACCTGTATCTCTTCTATCCATGTATCTGCCTTATGTTCTTGTATTTTATCACTTCTCCCTGAGAGATGTCTTCTCCCACAGGAGGCTCTGATGCCAGCACCTCATCTCCAGTAACTATAGCTATCTCCCCTGCTTCGCCAGAAAAGCCACCAAGGAGACGACAAGGTTTTCTTTGTGGATAATTTGCTCACCAATGTAGCAACACAGCATGAACTGGCACTGTTGATAGCTTGGTTACCTGCTGTTCCCCCCCACCCCACCAGCCCCCACCTGCACTCTAACTGGCCTGTTTTTCACTAACAGTCTCTGTATGGGGCCTGTGTTCAGAATGCACCTTGGGCTGGGTGAATAGCTGGAAGTGTAGCTTTATGTTTTTCACTCACTCGTATGGTTGAACACTTCCAGGTTACATCGGTGACTTTGCACCAAGCAAACGGCACACAAAAAACAGAACTAATAGAATCGTGTTGTCGATGCTGTTCTCTGAGTGGTCAAACATTGTTTTACTTGTTACTAACTACAGTGCCTGGCTGTCTGAAACCACAGCACATCACGCTTTGTATACTAGGGGTATTAAGATAATACAGAACCTTGTATTCCCTTGTGTGCACCCAGATGCCCTCCCCTATTGGCTAGCCTCCAGTGTAAACCCCGCCTCCCTTGTTTCTTTCTTCCTCCCTCTTAGTGGACCCACGCTGCACATCCACTATGAATCTGAAACAGCCGTCCGAGGCCGGCATCAGCAAGCGCCTATCTTCCTCCTCTGCCACCCTCACCAAATCTCCTAACAAAAGTAAGTGTCCTCTCTCCCCCTCTCTTCTGCCCCTCTTCCCCTTCCTTATTTGTGTCTTCGTGCACTTACCCCTTTCCTTACCCCTACTTCTCCCTGCATTCCAGTGATGTTTCTTAACCAAAGTAGTATGTTCCAGTCTGTTATTAGTTAGGTAAATATTTTTCTGTCATTATCTGTGATTATTCATGTACTGAAATCTACCAGGTGACAAAACTATAGGGGATCTGGAGCCAAACCCATTTTCTGTGTCTGCTCTTAAACCTGGAGTAAACCCCCTGTCCTCTCCATGTCCAGAGTCATATGCAGTGGCTCACTGGAGCACAGACAGGCTCTGATAGTGGTACAGAAGCCTGTCACTCTTCTGGCACATTATCCTGAAGCCTATTCTGATTCAAAAGAAATGTTTGATTTCTGTAAAAAAAAAAATAATAATAATAATAATAATCAAGACAGTCAGTTAATGAACTTCTCTCCACAGCGTCTAAGGGCTGCCAGTGTCATTTGTGATTTCTTTTCACTGCTCAACTTTTTTAATCAATATGCTACCAGTCTCTCTTTTCCAGATTTATGATATTCTAAAAAGTTTGAGAGACTTTTGAACCATTCATGAGAGTGCTGTGTAAATTCACCGTTGGGTGTTTCATCGTTGTCTCTCAGGTGTTAAGCCGAGGAGTTCGTCTTGTAACCGGTTGCCTAGCAATGGCAACGTTGCTCAGACCAGTAAGGAAGATGGCAAAAAGCTGCAGGTGGAACAGACAGGTGCAAAAGATCCGCTCTTCATCCCACACTGTCATTTAATAAAAAAATTGTGTAAAGTGCAGTTTGCCAAGCCATCATACATTCAATTCAACTGTCGATAGTAAGCTGCTTTTCTACATGCCAATGGTTTAAGCGCTGCCAGCTGCTAATAATAATAATACAAATAGAAGACTTGGAATTAGAGAGAGTCAGGTAGTGTGATCAGATTGGTCTATAAATCTTCTCTGTGTATTTAGGCGTCGTCTTTGAAAATGGGCATCAGCCGCTGTTAGGCCTAGCCTGGTGACACAAGCCCAATGAAGTGCACATGATTTATAAACCATCAGGGGATTCCTTGTTGACACTCTCCCAGTGTCCACTTGGCTGTAACTCCACCACTTTCATGTCCATAGGCCAGTCCATGAAGAAGAGAAGTTCCTCCCTCACTCGAGTAAGTGTGGGCAGAGCACAGACCCCTCCCAATCCTGATAAGGGGACAACGGATGATCAAGGTGGCTAGCATGAATGATCAGCAGTTATTTCATTCCCCTCTCTGCATTGCTCAGGCCTCCAGCTTTCAATAACAAGCATGTGGCTCTGATGTTAATGGCTTGCGCATTCTGAATCCACTTGTATTTTTAAGACCTTAACAGTACTGACTGACACTAAGATTTGAGGGATAACATTCTCTTTTGGCTCAGTTCAGTGCCATTGAGCCCTAACTAACTGGCCAGCTCTTCGTGCTATAGGTTCCCCCCTTCGATCCACGTTTTCCTTCACCCAAGTTTCTCTGACTGCTGAATTATGCTGTTGGCAGCTGCTAATCTTCCGTACAATGTTTGTGATTTCCTGGAAACGCTGTGCTTTGTTCCATGTACGCCTTAATCTTTCTACCTACCAGATTCTGTGCCGTTTCCTGTTTCTCCCAGACAACTGCTCTCATTTTAATCTTTTTTTGTTGTTTGTTTTCTGGTAGTGTCAACACAGAGGATTGATTTTTGTTATGTGGTATGTCAGCACTAACACGGTGATTGTTTTATTGTCACACAGTGTTGATTGTTTTCTCCCTCCCAGATGACATCATAACTGGATTTAAGTCGCAGGGCTCGTGCTACAGCATGGCATGTGTCAGTGCCTTACCACTATCACACACTGGAGCACTGCACTTTGTGTTTTGCTATTAACCACAGTGCTTTTGTTTGTCCTATAGTGATGCCAGCCTTTGTGTAAAATGTTACTGTCCTGTACAGATACTGTATATGTTCTGTGTGGTTAACCTGAAGAATAACACAGCTACCATCATTCACACTGACATAGCACTTCTCATCAGCAGTTAAAAAAAATAATCAATGTTATTTAGCCCAATGTTATTTAGCCCCAGATCTCCAATACACCATTGTCTTCAGTGCTATAACCTCAACACAGCCCAGATCTTTAATACCTGGCTGCAGAGCAGCAAGCCATGCTGCTGCTCTCCAGGGGCTAGCACTCATCAGTTAACAAAAACAGGTCTGTCGGCAACAGATGTCCTCTCAGTAAGGTCCACTCTGTAGTCTCCTTTGGACAAGATGGCATTTAGGGATATGCAGCAATATCAACACTTTTTAAACTGTTCTCATGGTATGATTTCTGCTTTGTAGCTTAGGTAGCTAAATGTGGAATTCTTCCATTTTATTAAAGCAAGAGCTCTTTGTTTCTGCTTTCATAACTCACAGATTTGCTCAGTACTCTCTGTCGTACTGCTAGAGTGGCTATAGTCAGCCTCCTTAGTTGAGCTTGATGATTTAAAATGCAAACCTTTATCTCAAACATAGAGAACTTTGTACAGTTGAAGCTAAAGAACTCTTCTCTTTTCAATCACTTACACTCCCACCTTTAGTCTTTGGTCTGTTTCAATTCTCATTTTTTTACCCAACAGTATTCCTCTGTTGTCTTTGAAGTTCACCATTTTGTTTTCCCACCAGCACACCTTCTTCTGTCTGAAGGAGCCACTGATTTGACTTCACTGTCTACTTTGACTGTTTTAACTGTTCTTCAGTTACCAGATAATCTTTGGACTGTCTCAATATTCTTCCATGGCACGCTTGTACCTCATTTGATTGAATATCATTGACAGTCAACAGGATAATGACAGTTGATAAGGACCCTATGTAAGATTATTGAGACATAAAGTAACCTTTGGTTCTCTATATTGATTTTCTCTTGTTGGTTAAATCACATGGTGACTTTTCCGAACTTCACTGACTATCCCTGTCTTTGTTTTGCCTTGTCATCTCCTATTCTTGTCCACTCCATTCCTCCTGCCCTTTGTTCTGTTCTGCTGTTCTGTTTTTTTTTTGTTTTTTTTGGGGGGTGATTTTTTTCAACCGTGTAGCTCGCAGGCCACCAGCCATCACTGTGGATGGAGGGTTCCTTAGTCGCCTGCTCAGCCCTACCCAGGCGTCACTAGCTAGGAGCAAGAGCGCCGCTGCCCTATCCGCTGAAGGAACAGATGCTCCAGGTAACCTCCAAATAGGAGACCCTGACCAAAGGGAAGGATGCCAAGGCAAACCTACTGGTCCACTTTTCTTACCATCATTTTACAAGTCAAATGTCAGTTTAGTCACCCCACTATCATGCCACTAGATTTGAGCTCATCCTAGCTCAATGCTGCAGACCCTCATGCTTTTGGAACAGCCCTTTAAAAGCACATGGTGGCCTCTTGGTGGTGGAATTGCAGAAGCCGCTGCAGGTCTTTGTGTCTAAAAGCCGCTGTTGTAACAATTAGCTGTTTGTGTTAAGCATGTTCAGTAATTTGCAGCAAAGTACACTCGTGAGAAAGGAGAGTTGCACAGTAAAGACTGACGCGCGGGTCCAGCTCACATGCACACAGTCTGATACAGTTGGCTGCCATGTGGTGAGTTAAGCTGAGCAGGGCAGACTTGGCAATGAGCATTTCTCTGCTTCTGAGGAGCCTCAGAATCCATGCTGGAAGATTTGCTGTAAGCAGCTTACCTTTTGCTCATGTCAGAGTGAGGCTGTTGTGCTGTAGTGTGTGTTCTAGCAGTGAGACCAGGGCACTGAGGATTACACAGCACTGGAATAGTGCTGATCTTTCCATAGAATATATAGACTTGAAGTCATACTATTCAGAATCAGTAGATCTAACGTACTGTGACCACTGTGCTTAGTGCTGATGTTTTGAACTAAAATATTCTCTGAAGTCATATGGGTGGGGTTTTGTGACTTGCAATATATTTTATAAATAAGCCATCTATTTCCATTGCATTGAAGTCATATGGGTGGGGTTTTGTGACTTTCAATATATTTTATAAATAAGCCATTTATTTCCATTGCATTGTGTGCCATGCTGTGATGGGCATGATTCAGAAACACACTGAATGTTTTTTGACTATGTTATAAGGATTTGAAGAACCATACTGTAAAGCACTGACTGATTTCAAAATGCAGCTGTATTCCTAGAGTTGGTCTTCTGGTGTTTATTGATTGGGCATTACAAATGCATTAGCAGCTATAGATTTTCTGTTAAGTGTAGCCACAGTAGAAGCATTAGCAGCAGCGGTAGCTTATGGCAGCATAAATTTCATAGTCACCATAGCTGTTCGGTATGCAGTCAGAATGGGTTGCAGAGCACATTTGTGACCAGGTTGTGGCAGGGAGATTAACATGGCTAATCCCTCAGTCTGACACAGAAAGCTCATAGCCAGTATTTTCTGTTCTTCCTAACTATAGGCTGCACTCGTAATCAGGACGGTGCTTTTCAACCATTGCTATTCTAGGAATACAGTTATTTACCAGATCAGCATGCACACTTTAGAGCAGGTGGTCCTGTTTGAGATTACTGTAGTTTGTATGTTGAATTCTTTGGCACAAGCATTGCGTAACATCTTCTAGACAGCTCTGTCCTGAAACCACAGCAGATGTTGCATTTAATGGCAGGGAGGACTCACCCAGCAAATTGGTCTTCTTTTTCAATCACCATAACGTAACACAACAAACACTGTGAACTCTCATTGTGCATTTAGTGTACTAATAAACTGTGTGCGCAGTGTCACTGTTGTGCTGTGCTGGTGGTAGGCTCCGTGTAGTGTGTGTGTTTGTGCTGTGGTGCTTGGTGTTTAGATGTTTGTTTAGGGTTTTTGTCAGATTGTTGCTTTCTGCTCATTTCCCCAGTGATCTCCAGCCCAACCAGAGTTTAAGAAGTCGGGCTGTTGCCAGCCTAAAGAGCTATATCTAACAAAACGCATTTTTTTGTGTGTGTGTGTGTGTGTGTGTGTGCTCTTGTCCCCTTACAAAATCACTCTCCTGCATTTCTTTTGACCACCATCTGCCCTCCAACCTCTCACTCTTTCTCTCCCACTTTCCCCTCACTCTTTCTGTCCACTCTTCATGCTTCTCTCCCTTTGTGGTTTGTTGCCCAACTTGGCTGCTTATCTGGTCTCCCATTGGTTGTGCTCGTCTGGTCCTGCGATGACTGTGTGCCTTACCAGAGTGTCACCTGTGTCCTCGCTCAGCCTCTGCCAGCCCCCTGCATCCACTACGTGGACCCGTGCGCAGCCGCAGCATTGACCGGCAGAAGAGCGGCGTGACCACCTCTCTCTCCACTGACAGAGCCCCCAATCCTTCACAGGTCAGAACACCTCTTGATATTAAAGTCAACTCAGGCATTTACAAAAATTGTAATATTATAATTTGATTGCTGGTAGCACTAAAACACAGAGACACCTTTTTCAGAAACTGACTAGAAACCACTGTGAAGCTAAAGGATCTGTTCCTACAATGGACTGACATTGCTCAGAAATACCAGTTTGATTTATATGTAAATATCCAGCTCCATTTGCCTGTTAAAGTACTTCTGCAGTAGAGCTACACGATTAATTGTTTTGTGAGCATGATTTAGATCCCTGTGTGTTCTTAGTTTCACATGACAATGGTTCCCTTGCATCATACCAAGCGCTCCCTTTTCCTTGCTAATCGCCAAGTGATTTATTTCTACCTCAACTGCTATTTGGCCCTAGGTGTATAGGGCAGGCATCACAGGGTTTGAAAAATAGTTGCAGGATGGCACGGAATATCTTTCACAATGTCAAACATGTTGGATTTGTTTTTGAATCGGTCTTTTCTTCCTCTCTACAGCTCATCACATGATGTAATGCTTTCCTGCTATTGGTTAATACAGCTTAGCGAGGATAAAGGAGTGCTTGGTTTGTTGCAAGGCCTCTTCGTGCTAATGCAAACATTGCAGAATCATTGTTGACCAAGGTCGCACGGGGATCGCTAATGCAAACATGGCAGAATTATTGTTGACCAAGATCGCATGGGGATATGAATCACGATCACAAAATGATTAATCATGCATCCCTATTCTGCAGGATGCTAACTAGAGGGAAATGTTGTTCTCCAGCTTGAGCTTTGCTGGTCACTCATATTTAACTTATTCATACATTGGCAGAATGTTATCATACTTACTGCTGTTCATAACTTTGTTCTCACTCGGTGGCCCATAGTGCCTAGCTCTAGCTCGTAACCTATGTCGTCCTCCTCTTCTGCAGCTGTGAAGGGCATCATTGTCATTCACAAGACAAAGGCACCCACAGTGGCCTCATTATAGACAGATCATTTTATGCAAAGCAGACCCCACCCTGATCCTGAAGCTTACTGGCAAAAGGCTTTGAATTTCTCATTGTGTCCTCTCCTCCACATGCACTGATTGGTGTAATGGAAATTCACAGCCTCAGGCTTATCACTCAGGTGTTGCCTGGCACTTGGAAAGTAAACCATGTAGGTTTTCTGCAAGTTTATTTGTCTTTTGTTTGTGAGAGGATATGAAGAGTTTAGAGCCACCATATGAAAGTAAATGGATGTTACTGCTGTGTGTGTTTTTACAGTCACGTCTGGCTTCCTTACAATGGCACTGTGTCTATATACTGTTCTTGCCATAGTGCTGTACTGACTTGAATAGGAAATTAGAGGTTTCATAAGCTTATGTTTACTCTCCAGCTTTATCTGTTCTATTATCTGAAGATGATTCTCAAGCTGTGTGACCAAAGCTAAAGCAGTTTCTTATGTTCATACTGAAAACACGTGTCTCATGTTGGCATGGTTAGCATTTTGGTGCAAACAGTTTGGAGGGGAACAGGTCTGTATAGTTGTCATGTGGTTGACCTTGTGCCTGTTATCATGTTTACAGTGCCACATATAGCACATGTACATTAAACATGGAGGAATTAAAACCTAGCCCATGGCCTCCATCACTCCAGCATTGTGTAACAGTTTGAGATGCCAGTGAAAATAGAAGAGGTAGAGATAGACTTGAAGTATGAGCTAAATGGCCATTTTTTTATTTTATTTATTTGTAGTGTTTTTATGCTTTCAGGATTTTGAGTTTTCTTGCTCCCCAGTTGTAAGGACAATTGAGATGCATAGACCAGTGGTTACCAACCTGGGGGACCTGAAGCTTTTGGAAGTTCAAGATCAACATTAGGGATCATGACTACTGGAGTAAATTAGGAAAACACAGTTTCAATGATACACAAAGTGATGTTTATTTTTTCTGACTTGTGTGTTCATCAGGGTCATCCCGATGAGGCTTTTATGCCTCACGCCGGTGATAGTCGTGGCCAGAGGCATTATGTTTTTGTGTTGTGCGTTAGTCCTTCCAACCCGTTCTTGTAAATGCAATATGTCAAGAATTAACTGATTAGATTTTGGTAGTTAACAATCAGTGACCTTACATTTGTTCCATTCCTGTGACTTTGTCAGCCGCAAAGCAGTAATTCTAGTTTTAGGATTCGTTGTGAGTGCTTGTGATAATCCTAGTTTGGACATTGCCATGACTTCCTTCTTCGCTTCTATCCCTTTTGTGTGGAATTGCAGAAGGACAATCAGTTTACATCACCTGGGAGGCAACGTCCCGCCTCCCCTTCCAGTACCCTGGGACGCAACCGCTCACCATCCCCAGCCCCTAGTCCACTTCCAAAGAGGACCCCTTCACCAGCAACAGCCAAGTAAGACTATAAGCGTTCACCTACACATCTTCAGTTATTGAATATTTCTTTTTAAGTTGTTGGAGAGTTTGGACTCACACTACCTCCTTACAGGCAAAATCCCAGAACACGCCCACTCTCACCTGGTGCAATGAAACGTCCCCCATCCCCCCAGCCTACATCAACCAAACCCCCACCCATCCAGAAACCAGCTCTTACTCCAACAGGACCCGCCACTTTCCGAAAGAGGAGCTCCAAGTCCAGCGAGGTGTCCCCTGTCCAGGCTGTGGCTCCACAGTCCTCTGATGCCAAGACCAAAGAGAAAGATGGTGAGCAGTCCTCAGTGATAAGTACTGTGTACAGCCCACAGTATAAATGTATGTTTGTACAAATATTTAAGGTGTTTCATATTAGTACAGATGTGTAATATAGCTCCATATAAAGGTAAACCTAACACCCATGGTCACCATACCATCTTTTTATTTAGTACTAATATTTAACAAGACTTTTCATTATGCTGGCAACCTGGATGTTTGTATCCAGACATGCTGTTGATTTCAGGGAGGGAAGTGACCCAGCAGGACAAGAAAAAATCTCTCTCATCTGAACTAAATACACATTCCTGAGGTTCCAGGTCCAAACAGGCCTTGCACTTCCAGAAAATTTGTCTGTTCTAGACTTTTACTAAGGCACATCTTGTTCCAAATAACTGGGGTGTTTCTTTCTCTCCATTGTCTAGAAACCAGTTCCATTTACACTTAACATGATACTGAACTAAAGGAGTGCAGAAGGAAGTAAAATGAGTTGGTTTTAGATTCAAAAGAACTTGCAGAAGGGGGTGTTGTGTATTAATGAATTACTGAGTATGCTGAAACCAAAAACAAACTTCAGACAATATTGCTCTAATTTTATTTTCAGTTATTTTTTTTGTCTACTCTCTCTCTCAGCAGCACTATGAAGTCCTCTGTGATTATGGTTTATTACTGCTTTGAGGAACAGTTTGGTTTAAGGGCATTAACATCGGACCAAAAGCAAATCCCCAAAATATAAACTATTACATTTTAGAGTTGATTTAGTTTAAGGTTAGGGTGAGGGTTAGGCAAATAGTGATTATGGTTTAGGTTAAGGTAAATCTGCAAGAAATGAACTTAGGTTTATATAATGTCCCCTGAAGGGGATAGAGACACAGCTCTGTGTGTGTGTGTGTGTGTGTGTGTGTGTGTGTGTGTGTGTGTGTGTGTGTGTGTGGGCTGCAAACTCTTCAGTTCAGTTTGCAGTAAATCTCAGTGGAACAGGAGACCTATCGGGTCCCAGCTGGCATCACATTCTGTTACCAATCTGGGGTAGTGACTGCTGCCACCTCGAGGAGAGAGTCATGCTCTGCAAGATAAAATTGCTTAATAATGGTGTGACAAATGGTTGGGTAAAGGCTGTTACCAAGTATGCGTTAGAATAATGTGAGACACAACGCAAATGTTAAGTTCAAACCTTGACTTTATCAGTTCAAATATGTATATTATCCTGTTCATTTTCCCAACTTGGATTTTAACATGCAAGTGTAGGAGTTGGTGATACAGATGAAATCCTCCTCCATGGTGTATGTAATCTAATATCATAAAATCTATATATATTGGGATATAGTAATTTTTGTTAAATCACTTGACAAACTGGATAAAATAATGAGCAGAATCTGTTTTTAGTTGAATCACCTCACAAATTAAAGGACTAATCACAAGTAGAAATTACACTGATACAAATGTCACGTAGAAAAACAACCTTGCTCTAAAGGAGTCCTAGTCACTGGTGTGCAACATTACCTTTCACAACCTAAGAAACTTGGACGTATTAAAGAGATAAATACTCTGTGGATAGACAAATTAACACAATCTCATAACATATAATAATCTCAAACCCTAATGTGTATTTCCATGTAGCTTGATTGGAGACTGTTCTCTCAAAGAGCACAAAGATTATTTTGAAAGCTAAACAATTCAGGATCAGGCTGCTTTGCTTCTTTTTTTTTCTCCTCCACCTACCTCTGTCACAGTTTAGCCTCCACCCGTCTGAGTTTCTCTTTCATGTCATCATTCATCCTCCAGTCACCACATCATATAATGGGCCAGGTGCAAGCTTCAGGTCAGCGCTACAGTGACAAATGGGTGACAGACTGACATAAAGTGCTAAACGTACGCATTTTTCTTTCCACCTGTTAGACTCTAAACCCTCACTGGGCACCAACTCGGCCGCCGAGGCAGCCAGGATCCTAGCGGAGAATCGCAGATTAATGCGAGAGCAGAAGGAGAGAGAGGAGCAGCTCAGGATACAAAGGGAGGAAGAGGAGAGGTAACATTGATTTCATCTCTAACAAAATAATCTGTTACAGTTTGACTGATGCACCAAAATTCTGTGAAAATTTTCTCAAGAGAAATTTGTTTTTCAAACAACTGTTCATTCAAAACACATTATCAGTTGACAACACTGCAGGGTGTATTCTCAGGGTATTAAAAGTATAATGAGCATGTTTCTTTAGCTCATGAGATGTGGGAAAAGTTCCTCTGGAATGTCCACTGCTGAAAGTCACCTCTCTTTATTTGTGAGTATATTGTCAAGCCATTTGCTGTTGTTTATGATCCCAGGCTGAGAAAGGAAGAAGAGCAGCGTTTGGCGGAAGAAGCGCAATTGAAACAATTGGAAGAGGAGAAGAAGCTTGCAGAGGAGCGAAAACTGAAAGAAGAAGAAGAGGCTCGCCTTGCAGAGGAGGAGCGGGTGAGACTAGCAGAAGAGGAGGCGCTGAAACAGGCTGAGCTCCAGAAGGAACGGGAGGAGGCTGAGGCCAAGGCTCAGGAGGAGGCTGAGAGAGCCCGTCAGGAGAGAGACCGCATCATGCAGCAGAACCAGCAAGAACGGATGGAGAGGAAGAAGGTACGATGGGTGGGCGGAGGAGAGAACCTTCTCTTTATTTGTTTTGCTTTATCATCAAGGCCTAGATCAAATAAAGAATTTGAAGCTTTGTTTTGCAGCAGTAGTCATCAGAAGTCAGTCAGAGCAAACCAAGATTCCATGTTACTCACTATAATCTGAAATCACCTGCCTCTGATATTTTTCATAATTGTCTTTTTAGAGTGCACTCTCTTTAAGAATCCTGACCCTGATGTCATCAGAATGTTTATAAGTGATTGAATCAGTGTCTAATGTAAACAAAGAATGTTTCACAATGCTACAGCGCTGTGTAGAAGAAATGTTCTTAAAGTGTTATCTGTTCTTTTCTTTTCAGAGAATAGAAGAAATAATGAAGAGAACTAGAAAAGGGGACCAAAGTGACTTTAAGGTGAGCACACATTTACTCAGCTTGTAAATCTTTGAGCATCTGTGGAGAGAATCTTCAACTCTGTGTTTTAATATGCTGACCTTGTCTCCTGCGTAGAGAGATGACGATAAGTACACACAGGAGAATGGAGATGAGGAAGTGGACCAGATAAACTATGAAACCAAAAGTGAGTGTTCTTATCCTCTAGCTTTCATATCTAAGGCAGGTTTGGGATATCAGAGTGAAGGGAGATGTATATACCACTGAATTTGGTATTTTGTTACTGGGAGAGAAGGCAATGCTTCCCTTTTAGTGTTTTGGGGTTTTTTTGTTTGTTTTTTTACATTTACCATCGATAAATTGGTTGTTGGTGTGAATTTCATAGTTTTCTCCACAGCTTATTAGTTTTCTCATCCAAAACCATTTTCTCAGTTGACACCGTAGCCCAGACAGATGACATGGCCATGGAGGCCAATACAGATGAGTGTGACCTGTCCTCTGGTGAGCCGGTGACACAGCGAGAGATGCCCCTGGGCAGTGTCAATGGGAAACTGGAGGCAGACGACAAAGAGAATAAAAATGGCATAAGCACAGATGAGACTCAGGCAGAAAGGTATAACTGTAAAAAAATATAATGAGTTGTTCTGACAATATTGTAACTGACCTGTTGAAGAAATTGAACTCTGCCACATGTGAACTCGCCAGAAAATCACCCATTTTGTCATATTTACTCTCAAGACATTTGCAGAACTGCTTTTCTTTCTGTGCTCATGCACTCACTTCTTACTCTCTCACTCTGTGACAGAGTTACTGTATGTTGTACCGTGAGACATTGAATCTTCACCTCCAACTATTTCTTCCCCTCTTCAGTCCAGTCCCTAAGGGTCGCCTCGTGGAGGGCTCGGAGTTCCTGAACAAGCAGGACTCCACCAAGGTGGGTCTGGTCTCAGGTCTCAACAGTAAAGCCAACCAGTGGAGCTTCGAAGAACTCATTGACCTCAACGTCCACTCCAAGATTCGGCCCCTCATCGAGGCAGAGGACTGTAACCAGGTCTTGATTAACTGTGACGGGAACTCAGACGGGACTAAGGTAGCCTTTGAAGACAAGAGGACCCCTGTCAGCACTCTGCATTCCTCCAACCAACCCATAGAAGCCCTGTCAGGTGAGAAGCCAGTTACACTCATTCATCTGTTTGGAATATATATCTTCACGATAAACCTTAACTCTTTTCTCATGTGTCTTTGTAGAGATTTGATGCTGCAGCCGTCACTGAGGAGCCTCTTACTGTTGCACTCAAAGTTCCTGTTTAGCTGAGCTCCCTAAAACAGTCCTGCCAGTTTCAAACAGCTTCTTCCTCTTTGTCCTCCTGCTCTTCACAAGATGAAGCAGAAAGACCACACAAGTGCTACATTTGCACCCTACATGATGAGGAAACAAAAATATTAAAATTATATACGTTTAAAAAAAAGGCTTCAGGGAATTTCCATTTATTCCTTCAAAATATTTGCTTCAGGTCTCTTTCTTCTTCCTCTTGTGTTTTAGTTTACCTTCAGAATTTTTTTCTATTTTGTGTCTAATTCTTATGTTTTTTAAAAGTTTTGTTTCTGTCAGGTGTGCATTGTAGTAATTTATTAATTTTGGCTTCTTTGGTATAATTATTGTTCTCATATGTTTAGTTTTTTCTATTGTTTTAGAATATTTCAGGACACGTGCACATTAGGTTGTGTAAATTGAATATGAAGCAAATATCGCGAGTTAATAGAAGGAACTTTGATACGTTTTGTTCTGCCAGGGGTTGGTTGTGAATAGCATCCCAGGTTTTACCTGAGATTAATCTAAAGTTACTTGACAGCTGCTTTGTGCAGCATTCAGAAATATGGCCTTACCATTTACTCCCAGTTTCCGATTTTTAACGTGTGAACTAAGAAATGGTTTGTGCTGAAGTGTATTCACCCTGTTTTGCAGTCGCTCGTCATGTGCCTGGGGGTGGATTCTGTATTCATGTTGCACTTCCCCTCACAGAGCTCAGTCCTGTCACCCTGTTAGTATGCGTAACACATACATGTCTCCCACAGCTTCTCTCTGTCATTTTGTGTTTTGGCCACTAGAGGGATTCAGGAGCACAGTTGCTGCCCTAAAGAATTTAAAGAATGTTGAGGTTCATGCAACACTGGTGAATTGACATGTTCAGTGACATTTCAGCAGCTTGTTGATTTAGGGCTCATGGTCTATTTAGGTTTTGTTTTTGTCTTTTTTTTACATGTGTGTGTTTATGTGTGTATATATAGAATTTATGTTCACTAACATCATTATATACATCGGAGTCACATGCAGTGTTAGGTTTGTCTAGAAGATGACTGCATCTGTTACATACAGCTGATTGATTAACCTTAACTGTGGCATACTAACTCACACAGGTCCTATCATAGCTGTGTTTGTCACTGACTTGACCTTAAATGTTGGCCTGTTCTGTCATGTTGTCCACAACTGAAACTCAAAATCAGGGTTTCAGTCATCGGGCTTTAATTTGTGCTTCACTAATACACCCACTTTTTCATCCCACCTTGTGGCTCAGTCGTTAATTTCACTTATTTTCTCACTAACCTTCTAAAAATCTGCTGCCGCATCTGACATTTCAACAGTTTTTTTTTTTATAATATAAAATTTCGTTGTTCATATATGAAAATACATTTCTGCATAATGCTTGTGTTGTTGTATTGTGTGTGTGCATAATCAGTATTAGGCAAATCAAGCCATGTTTAGGATGGATTGGTGCCAGGATGTGAACAATTGAAGCCTTGTGTATCCGACTGCGTTATAAGTTTGGTTTGTTCTCAACTCGTGCCCTGAAACAGGGTAGCCAGGTTAGGGTTGGGCAGCCTGGGAATTTGAAATTTAGGCCCCCGTTTCACAAGAGGGGACCCACCATATATCCTTCAAAATATGAGTTGTGTAATTCTGTGAGCAGTTCTGTATTCCCATTATCTATTTCGGGATTCAAATTCTGTTGATAAGCAGAGCTATTAAAGCCCTCAGCAACATGTCCGACCCATGGAGACGGCCATGGCTTTGCCACACTGTACTTTTTGTCATCAAATGGGGCTGTTGTTCTGGTAGGTTTATCACCTCTTGGCTACTGTTCCACCTTGTAGCATGAGGAAAGAAACATCCACTAAACACCATGACATGGGTCAGACATGTTCTTCATATTTTCTGTCTGTTCTGTATTGAAATCTGGAAATTCCATGTCCTTCAGTGGCCTGAGTACGAGGTTTTGGGACCTTTAATATTTGCCTTGTTTTCTGCTGGCTAACTAAAATCTCTGTACATAAAGACTAGGGGCTTTTAGATCTTAGCTTTGATTAATAATCTCTTTTTAGTCTACCCTTCATTAATTTACCATATCTCTCAGAGCTGCCTGCTATTTTGCACTGTTACAAATTACTGACTATTTAAAAGAAAGGTTACAGCGGAGTAGCTTTACTAAATGAAGTCACTGGGGCTTTGTCATGTTCTGGAAGAAACTAATTTTTCTCTGGTTTCTTCCCATTCAGATGTTTTAGAAGTTTTATGCCTAGCCCAAAACAAAACCTACCTACACCTAAACTCTCCCTACAAAACCTTTCCTACTCCTCTTTCTACTCATGAGTAGCACCTGTTGGGGG